AAATTTAAAAATAAAAAATAAAAAAAAAAGTAGAAATTTTAATTTGTGGGATGGGATGGGATGTGCAGGAGGTTTGATACAGCTAAACTACGGAGGTCCTCAGCCTCTTCAGTATGTGGTTAATGCAGCCTACTTGGCTACCTTGTTCAGTGACTATCTAGCAGCTGCAGACACTCCTGGATGGTATTGTGGACCCAATTTCTACTCAATTCATGTCCTACGTCAATTTGCTCAGACTCAGGTGAGATAGCTGCTGCTATTTTATATATATGAAAAATACTATTTCTATTCCCAACTTGTACTCCATCTCACAAAATGTTAATGTTAACATTTTACATCAACTCAGGGAGTAAAAGTGAGACAGTAGAAATAGGGAGTACATGTACTAGAACTCTATATACTCCTCGTGTGCGGACGCGCGGATGGCTAAATGTTGGTCTATGATGCACTACAGACTGGTCTCTGATGCACTACCAAATTCTGGTGCCGTGGTTACACATTAGTAATTTCAATGATATACTGGTGTATTTAAATATGCTTGTTGGTGCGTTTAGATATGTTTGATGCCTTGATGATACTTTGAGTCCAATGCACCATCAAGCATTCTTGTGTACACAAAAGACTAGCATTTGGCGATGCACTACAGACCACCCCTAAGTGCACTACACACAGTCTTATGTCCGCACGAGAAGAGTCGTCCGCACCTGATCCGGATTTTATATATATATATATATATATATATATATATATATATATATATATATATATATATATATATATATATAGAGAGAGAGAGAGAGAGAGAGAGAGAGAAGTCATGCGGTTGCGTGTCTCTCGTGCAGTTGTGCGTGAGTTTTGTATATAAGGTGTGTAAGTCTTGTGCTTAAGGTGCGTGGGTGTGTATTTAATGTGAGTAGTATTGAAACTTAAGGTGCGTGAGTTTTGTGCTTAATGTGCGTGAGATTAGTGTTCTTAATGTGAGTACTCGTTGAAACTTAAGGTACGTGAGTTTTGTGCTGTATGAGTTTTGTGCTTAAGGTGTATTGTTTGTTTGCTTAATGTGAATATGTTGTGTCATGTACTTAACGTGCTTCAGTTTAATGCTTAATGTGCGTCCAACCGCACAGAAAGTCATTCCCGCACCTGATCCCTTCCCTATATATATATATATATATATATATATATATATATATATATATATATATATATAATGTTGAAACTTAATTGTGTAGTGTAGTTATTTAAGTGTTACCGGATAACTCCGATCCTGTTAAAAATTTGGGTACGTTCTGGATCAGATTGAGTACATCCCAGAAAAATGAGTTACATTGTGGGATTTGGCAACCACTATCCTAGGCAGGTTCACCATCGAGGGGCATCAATTCCCAAAAACAAGATCGAGTACAAGTGTAAAGAAGGATGGAAATGGAGGGATTCAAAGAAGCCAAACCCAAACACCATTGTTGGAGCCATGGTTGCTGGTCCAGACAAGAACGATGGTTTCCATGATGTCCGCAGTTATTACAATTATACAGAGGCTACGCTTGCAGGAAATGCTGGTTTAGTGGCTGCCCTTGTTGCTTTGTCAGGTGACGACACAACAACACATGTTATTGGACTTGACAAGAACACAATGTTTTCTTCGGTGCCTCCTATGTTCCCAACCCCACCACCTCCCCCAGCTCCCTGGAGACCATAGTACCTTGATTTGCTATAAATTATTGTGAAGATGGACTCTACCAGATTTGCTCTATGCCATATAGCCTATCTAGCTGCATATTACATGGTCTCGTGTCTGTACTGCTTGTTGTTGGATATTTAATTTATATAGCAAATGTGTGTTAGCAAAATGACAGTTTTGGTCCACATGTTTAATTCCTACCGATTTTCATCCATGACTATTATTTTAGTACCATGACTATTATTTTAGTACCAATTATCATCCATGACTATTATTTTACATTACGCCGGTCACCCCTCGTTTAAGACATGCCGAAATATGAAATTATTAAGGGTATTTCCGTCCTTTTCAAATTAAAGATCTCTATTTGAGCTTGAATAAATGAATTTAAGTCCTAAGATCTATCCCAATTCGCAGTTCTCCTTCTCAAATTAAGGTAGGCCAGGATTATGAGGAGAACTGCAAATTGGGATCTAAAGTTGAAAAAGACGAAAATGCCTTCAAAATTTATTGATTTCAGCATGTCTTAAATTAAGGGGTGACCGGTGTGATGAATTTTGATATTAAAATAATAGTCGTGGATAAAAATTTGTACTAAAATAATAGTCAAGGATGTTAATTGGTAGGAATTAAACATGTGGACCAACACCGTCATTTTGTTAATACTCGTTAGACTAAAATTCGTATTTGCTCTTACTAAAATTAAATAATATTTTAAAGTTGTGGATTTATAATGATTATTTTAAGTTTAGTAGAAAGTTAATTGGGAAATACAAATTCTGCAGAAAGTTGAAACCGAAGAATATTCAGTTCCGGAACCAATTAACTTTTGAGAAGTTATTTTTGAACCTTGATTTCCGGAGGGTTGACTTTGAAAAGTCAAAATTGACCATTCGTTGGTTGTTGATTTGCTAAACCATGCGGAATAAAGTTTACTTCCCTTGGCAAATGACTATTCGAAAACCATATTACTGTTCGGATTACACGCAAGCAGCAGGGAATTAATATTTATTATGGCTAAGTTAGTGGGTTTTGTTGCATGCATATTTAATTTGTATGTTTGGAAATTATAATATATATATATACACTTTGTACGTGTATGCATACACGTATGCATTCAAGGTATAAATGTATGCATATATATAATTCTTACACAAATATTTGCATGCAATACATAACTTAAGGAGATACATTTTTATTATGAAATCTACATAAATGATTTACGTAATTATATTTTTTCATGTCACAATAAATTATCAGTGTAATATTAGTTTGGAAGTTAATGTCTTTAACCACCATGTAACTTTCAAGTAACTTCTCATCAGAGTTTGGATGTAAATATGTCTATGCATCCATCCTTGGATAGGACATGAGTAGACATGAGCAGAGACGGAGCCAGAATTTGTTGGTGTGGGGCAATTACAATTAAACTAACTAAAAAGAAAAAAAAAAAGAATAATTTGACAGAGATTAAAGTAGTAAAATTTTGAAGATTGGTAGCAAAATGATATTTTTTTTATTATTATAATAAGTATCATTGCAATGTATTTCATTTATACAAATTAAAAAGCTAACTAGATAGCAATCTATTGTCTAGTGTCCACAGAACATAAACTCAATTTGCAAATCTTTACAAATTGGCAAGTCAATTAAAGTATGTACACTTTAACCTTCAAATATGGCAAGTTCGATGCAAACTACATCTATGTCTGGGTGACCACCCATCTCAACAAGTATTTAAATATAGATTGTAAGAGAAACGATCTCACTCATATGTAATATACTCATATACCACATATTGTCCACTACTTATCCGGTAAAAAATCATAGAAAGATTTAATGGAGCTCAGAGATCTTCACAACAATTGTTCGACTCTCTAATTCATCCATGGCTACGCCGCCACGGCTAATATGGAATACGATCCTTGAAGTGATAAATTCACTTGAATTTTTTTCTCTTCAATATCAATTTAAATCTAGATTATATTGTTGATGAATATGTCGAGAGAATATTTTAAATTATTTATTGTAAAACTTGTAGAGAGAGAGAGAGTTCTTCAACCAAAATGTAATCGTCTCTATAAAATATAAATGCTCTAAATTTGGTGAGAGTATCTGCCAAGATTTTTTTTTTTTGTTACAATATTTATTCATAACTACTTTTTCAGTCACAAAGATTCAATACCACCTCTAATGAGGCTTGAACCCACAATCTCCCACATAGGAAAACAACTTAGTGTCATCCCGGATCACAAATTCCTTGGTAGAGTATCTTCCAAGATATTTCTCTGGTAATCCAATTATTCTTTCACCATTGAGACTATAATAATTAAGGGATTATACATTAATCATGGGATCTCTCAAATAACTTATTCTTGTAATTCTCCTCAATAGTAGTTATGGAGTAATTATTTAGCCATCCATAAAATAAATGTCTGGAATAAATTCTGTTCCATATATAAGATATTTTACTCTTTCATCATTGATTTGTTATAACGTACTGTGAATATATATGGAGTCTACCAGATTTGCTCTATGTCATATATCATATCATATCTGCATATTAATTACATTGTGTCATGTCTGTACCGCTATTTATCAAATTAATGATTTGTCTGGAATAATTTTTACATCTAAATTAATAGAAATATAGGCATAAATTCTAAATAATGGATCAAATTTATAGTAAAAAAAATATATTCTTTTCATAAAAATCGAAAATACTAAATAAGATAGTTAGAAATACTTAATAGATGGACAATCTACAAAATATCTTTATTAATGTTAATCTATACCTTCACATATAAACTGGGTTCATACAAATTTATGCAAGCCGGGGTTAGGACTAGTTTGTAAGCAAATTTATAGTCATTTATATAACATTTTAAAATGTTGGTCACTATCGTTATAATGTTTTTTGGTTAATATATATTTCGTTTACTTTATTTAAGCACGGAAAGTCGTAATTAATTCCGCTTAAGGTATCCCACAATATCGAATAGCATAGACACATGCTTATGCTAGATAGAGTCAAATACATTTCAAGGTGAATTGAGGTGCAGACCAAGAAATGAACTAAGGACAAAACTAACTTCAAGTAGTTCTAGATGCAAAGGACTAAACGAGATAAAACAGGGAGTCAAAAAAGTAAACCATCAAAACACAAAATTTGAGCCTAGAGGAGGGTGCAGTTGGGTGAAAGGGACTCATCGTTCCCTCTTTATCAAAGATCAAGGGTTCGATCTTTGATTTTGGAAATAGAATAGCCTTAAATCTCCAGATTAACCAGATATAGAGGTATAGAGGTATCTCGATTCGGTTAGGTATGGATTGGAGGGATAGCGGTCACCGCCACGCCAAAAATAAATGAATTTGAACACTTGTTCCCGCCGCCGCCGCCGCCGCTGCAGGGGTCAGTTATCAGCGAGCCGCCGATCGCCATAGCCGATCGAGGATCCTCCAATACAGCGGCGATCGGATCATCGCTGCCGTCACAAACTGCACCATCGATTTGATGATGATCGCCACCGTGCATTTCTTCTTCCTCCTCCTCCTCCTCCGCGCTCTCATCTGGTTCTCCGACGAAGAGGACGTCCAGCGGTACTAGGCGGAGGCGGAGGCGACCGTCGGAGCGGTGCGCCTCAAAGTACTCGTGCCGCTCGGTTTTCTCTGCAGTAATGATCAGCCTTCCGTCCTCCGTATAACACCGCTTCAAAACCCACGGCATTCTGGAAACCCGCGAGTTCCCCGTCCTGGCTAGCCAAGGTATCGGCGGCGGAAACTCCTTCGCTTTCATCGCTCCCTTCTCCTTCTTCCCCTCGCCACGAACTCGGCGACTCATTCCCCACTCCATAACTGGGTCAAAACAGCTCTCCACACCAACGTAATCACCCAACTCCATAATAGAAGTATCTCGACTTGATCAAGTTTTGGCTTCGATCAATTCATCTTCAGATAATCTGATCAAGTCATTGATTTGAATCGAGATGCCTTCTCATGGATGCTCAATATAACTTCACTCTCTCTATGTAGAACGATGGTTTTGTAGAAACGATAATGGGGAAAATAATTGTATTATAAATTTATAATCTAGCAACATACAGAAACTTCCTACACTATAACTTAAATCTAGGGCAAATCAATAAATCAATTATTTAATGTTTGCCTAATCTGTCAAATTTTTGACAGTAAATTTTCCTCTTAAGTCACGAGTGGCAAATTATGCTCTGGACCCGTGTCCACATTGAATTGTGGACACGGGCCCAAAACGACGTCGTTTTTAAAAAAAAAACGCGTCATTTAGTTAAAAAAAAAAAATTCGCGCGTGTTTTGCCGTTAACGGCGTTATTTTTTTTTTTGATTATGAATGTACAGTTATGCCGTTATGAATGTACAGTTATGCCGTTATGAATGTACAGTTATGCAATTATGAAATTACGAACACAGAGCTCTAACATTATGAACTTACAATTATGAACATATATAGTGATAAAATTATGACCATGGAGCTTTAAAATTGTGAATATAGAGCTTCGAAGATTATGAATGTACAGTTATAGAGTTATGAATCTACAGTTATGGAGTTATGAATCTACAGTTATGAGATTATGAATCTACAGTTATGGAATTATGAATGTACAGTTATTGATCGAATTATGAACAAAGAGCTCTAACATTATGAACTTACAATTATGAACATATAGTGATAAAATTATGAACATAGAGCTCTAAAATTGTGAACATAGAGCTTCGAAAATTATGAATGTACAATTATGGAGTTATGAATGTACAGTTATGAAGTTATGAATGTACAGTTATAGAGTTATGAATGTACAGTTATAGAGTTATGAACGTACAGTTATGGAGTTATGAATGTATAGTTATTAACATATAGTAATAAAATTATGAACATATACTTCTATAACAAAGTGATCTGAAATTTAAAAAAAAAAAAAAAAAAAGAAAAAAAAAAAAGAGATAACAGTGCCTAACGGCACTGTTACCCGTGTCCAACAAGCATGCTGGACACGGGTCCAAGGCATAACGATTACTCACGAGTCACGCCAACAAGTTCCCCCAAGGCTGACCCTGAACACAATGGACTCGTGTCCAGCCTGCAATGTGGACACGATAACGGTGACACAGTTATCTTTCATTTTTTTTTTTAAATTTCAGACCGCTTCGTTATAGGAGTATATGTTCATAATTTTATCACTATATGTTCATAATTGTAAGTTCATAATAACAGAGCTCTGTGTTCATAATTCCATAAATGTACATTCATACTTTCATAACTGTACATTCATACTTTCATAACTGTACATTCATAATTCAATAACTGTAAATTCATAATTTTTGAAGCTCTATGTTCACAATTTTAGAGCTCTATGTTCATAATTTTATCACTGTATGTTCATATTGTAAGTTCATAATGTCAGAGCTCTGTGTTCATAATTCCATAACTATACATTCATAATTCCATAACTGTACATTCATAATTCTATAACTGTACATTCATAATTCATTAATTCCCTAACTGTACATTCATAATTCCATAACTATACATTCATAATTTTCGAAGCTCTATGTTCACAATTTTAGAGCTCTATGTTCATAATTTTATCACTATATGTTCATAATTGTAAGTTCATAACGTCAGAGCTCTGTGTACATAATTTCATAACTTACATTCATAATTTCATAACTGTACATTCATAACTCCATAACTGTACATTCATAATTCCATAACTGTACATTCATAATGCCACAAATGAATAACACCGTTAATGGCGGGACAAAATCAAAAAAATAAAATAAAATAAAAAATTAACTGGAATACTATGTTTTTTTTTTCTGAAAACGACGTCGTTTTGGACTCGTGTCCATAATGCATTGTGGACACAAGTCCACAACATAATTTGCGCCCAGAACAAAGGTAGACTGAATCCTTACCCAAGACCCATGCTTGGATGGGCTATCCCACCTCAACCCTACTTTAAAATATATATATATATATATATATATATATATATATATATATATATATAGCAGGGTTCCAATAAGAACACCCGCTTAGGTGAGAACGTGACAAGAAATCGTGTGTATCTATCAAATATTTTTTAATGGTCTAAATTAAATTAAGTATGTATGAACGCGAATTAAATGTGTGTAAACATACTTAATCACGTTTACACACATTTAATTCGTATTCGCACACACTTAATCTAATCTAGTCCATTAAAAAATATTAGATGAATGCACACATTTGTTCTCACGTTCTCACCTAATTAAGTGTTCTCATATGATCCTAAATATATATATATATATATATATATATATATATATATATATATATATATATATATATATATATATTCATGTGATTCCCGGACAAAATATTAAAAAAAAAAAAAAATTGTTGTTATGTTATATAGCGAGATAAGTATTATTATAGTAACTTTTACGTTGTTTATATAAACCCTAATTTAAATATAATAAATAGGTACATGAATTGAGAACTAAACTAAAAACTTATTATATATGAGTTAATAAAAAGTAATTGAATATCTTCTCAAAAAAATAAAAAAAGTAATTGAATATTTTGAATATCTTCTCAAAAAATAAAAAAAGTAATTGAATATTACAAATTATTAAAAATATTATAGTAAACAATATTAGTAGTTGAAGTAATAATTGTATTCGAGTCACTACACATTAATACTGTCAGCCATTACTTTTATAAAGTTTACAAAAGTTCTTTATATAGATTTTTATAGATTCTTATAAATTTTATAAAAGTATAGATGACTCTATATAAGTCAATAAAAATTTATTAAAAATTATTATTTTAAGAGTCTTTAAAAATATACATGAGTAAATTTCATTTTTAGTCCTCGACTATTGTGACATTGTCACATTTAATCCTACTCTTTTAATTTTGTCATTACATCTCTAACTTTAATTTGATTGTCACTATTGGTCCTCCGTTAAAATTTTCGTTAATTTTACGCTAATAATAAGGTCAATAATGTAATTTAACAACTTGTCTCAAATACAAATTAAAATCCATCTTCTTTATTATACTTCTTCTCTCATAACTCTCTTTGTGCTAGTTGAAAATCATGAAATGGAAAGAAGTTCAAACCAAAAAAGATCCAGGCGATAATCAGTCTAGTGTCTCTCAAATTTTTCGCCGGGCAGTTTCAAGAAAAGTCGGATTTGAAGTCTAATAAGCGGAAAGATTCCACAAAGAATGAGTTAATGGATGGGATTATGGGAATGTTACCAACTTGAAGCAAGGCAATATATTGGGCTCTTTTGCTCAAGATAAAAATGCAAATTATATTTTGAATTAGATAGTTGGGAATCATGATCAAAGTTCAAAAGGCACTTTATTCGATCTTGCTGAGACTAGTATATCGAATACAGTTGCTAATAAGAATGCAAGTTCGCCAAAGATGGATTCGATTTCTATCTGAGATAAGTTATTAAATTACATTATTGACCTTATAGTTAACGGTACATTAACGAAAATTTTAACGGAAGATCAATAGTGGCAATAAAAATTAACTCAGGGATGTAATATGACAAAATTTAAAAAGTAGGACTAAATGTGGCAAATGTCACAATAGTCGAGGATTAAAATAGAATTTACTCAATCTACAAAGTCATGATTGAATACACTCTCGACCCGTAAATGTACATAATATGTTAATTATAATAGATAGGTACACAATTTATCAACCGAAGGTACAACTACGTACATATACATAATTTGAATGTTTTTTGTAGATCAAGGTCCACAAAATAAGGTGTAGCCTTAGTCCATGGTATAATTTGCGTATTTCACCACCACTATTCTTTTGTAATGCCTATTAGGTAGACCATGGTCCACACAATTGCGTAGACCATGCATATGTTACATTATTTTTATGCATAGAGTACACTATTTTCAATGCATATCATATAATATTTTTATACGTAATGTTCATTATTTGAATGCGTAATAAATAGTATGAAAATAACTTGAGGGTCTACATTATTTATTTAGCAGTTTAGCACACTCACTTTTCCTTTACTTAGAAATATAATATCCAAGTAAATTCATGTTTACTATTCGTATATATAAGATTCACTATTTGTATGTATAATGTTTATTGTCCGTGTAAATGTGTTTTGATGCATGGTCCATAATAAATTTTTTTTTTTTTGTTCAAATTTAGTAAGTGCTTTAATTACCTTTTTGTTTATTAGCAATTTAAATTTTGGCATTATTGGGCTTGATAAATTTATTTATTGTTGTGAACAACAACAACAACAACAATAACAACAACAATAATAATAATAACAATAATTAAAAAAAAAAAAAAAAAAAAACAGGTCGTAAATGTCATCATCAAGATTTGAAAAATAAAAAGGTAAATATTTCGTATCATTTAAAAAAAAAAAAAAAATTCCTTGCTACTTTTTGATTCATTCCATTTCTAGACATCCTTGATAGGGGTTTTTCATTTCATTGTGTACAATAATAAGCAGGGACGGAGCCAAAGAGAGCAAGGGGCAGCTGTTCCCCCTCACCCCACCCATACCCCATATATAATTTTTGTATGTATATATGTATATATAGTACATATGTTAGTATTAGTAAAATAAAACTATTAAATATCAATAAGAGTTGATTTAGATGAGTTGGTTGAGCATATATTGAGTTAATTTAAAGGTTAGAGGTTCAAATTTTGACATTAGTATAATTTTATAGTTTCCTTCAACCGAATTTCTGGCTCCTTCCCATATAATAAGTGCACATGCAAAACCGTCCAGGGACTGTTTCACAAATAGTTTCTGGGTCTTCAATTTCAAAACAAGTTTCGCTGCACGGACCCATATTTGTAGTACACCTAC